TCAACCCGGACATGGAAGTTTTGAGACACCGAGGGAAGATTCAAGAAAGAAGCTGAGTGTCTCAGTCCGGAGCCCTGAGCAGAGGTTGAACAGGACACTAGAATTTGGGAACCATTAAGATGAGGGTGCTTAAGACACAGGAATGGCAGAGTCACCAAAGAACCGAGGGCAGGGTGGGACCGAGAAGACAGAGGGGGCAGGGAGGGCGCCCAGGAGGGAGGGTCCCGCCAGAGCCACTCCCAGCTCCTCACTGCTCCTTCCCAGCAGAGGATAGTGTCAACTCCGTGTCCTCCGGGGCCACTTCAGCAGAAAGAGTTTTTTGTTTTATGGGAAACAGAGTCTTTCATTTATTTCATTTTTATATTTCTTCTCTGGGAAGTCATTCAAACAAATCAAAGGATATACACAACAACCCATCTGAGCCACACTGGGTAGAAATTCTAATTTTTAGAGAAACCACTCTTCCAAGGCTTTTTTCATTAGACCTATCATACCACATAATAAGCGTAAAACAGGTTCAATCACCAACCCTTGACATGAAGGGATGCTTATTAAGAGAAGATCTATGCAAGGAGAATTCACGCAGCATCTGTATAAGCTCAGCTCTTCTGCAATCAAAGTGATAGCATCCACTGAAATTGCTGTCATGGCAAGAGGCCACTTTTCTCATCAGACATGACAATTCCATTCTATTAAGAAAAAATGCATTCTTAGGAAACCACCATTCCAGAGGATCCACACCTGCAAAACTAGAAGAGGATAAAATACCTAACAAGGTTAAGTATCAACCAGTACTTCTCTGTATCCCTGGAAAGCATCAAATCCTACATGTAAACCAAGGCAAACCCATCGTATGGATTAATCCATAGATTGTCCATCAAGGAGCCTATTTTACTAAGGTAACAAATTCTTCCAGCACACCAAGATATATTTTATGCACCATCTACACTGTAAATTAAAAGAAATCCTACAACCAACTATAGTTCTCCACTTTATCTTACATCCAGGTAGCACTTACCTGTTTCAGAAACTTCTTTTATGATGTCCCTGCTCACCTTGATCGAGCCTGGGCTCTTGAAGTCACATCAGTGTTTTGCCCTAGTGCTTAGCAATGGCCTCTGGGGATTTCAAAATAAGGACCCATGGTTCATCTCCATTAGCACCGCTGAGGGCATGGCTCAAAATGCATTCTGGGAGGACGCCTCCACATGTCTGAGATTAGTGTGCATTTCTATGGATTTTGAACAGTGCTGATATGACCTTCAAAGTATCAAGAAGATAATAACCCCAAAGACATAACTGCCTACAAACTGTGGGATGATAGTTCTTCTACCTATTTATCCACACTACTGTTTAGAAATCTGTTGAAGGAAGGAATAAAAGAGAAAGTGTATGTACCCCCAGGTAAAACTCTATAACTGAAACAACATCACAATTTAGAGGTTATGCCTTTCACAAAATAAGAAAAAAAATACCAAAAATATGTTTAAACATAAAGGCTGGAATATACACAATGTTATTTGTATTGTACAAATAATATTAAAAAGTCTAAAAGTATCAAAACTCAAAATCTTTCTGATGAGAAAATACTCATCCACTTTTTCACAAAAAAGATTTTATTTAAGGGGCCATATTTTAAATGTAAGAAATATTATAAAATAATTTACTTTTGATCAACACATGACTACATTTACACATTTCTAACTAGGTACATGGGAAGTAATGTATTCTAAAACAGTATCAAAATATAATTTACAATTTCACATATCATAGAGTCCCAAAATTTAATCTCAAAAAATATTTTTATGATTTTTATTTTAAAAAACAAGAAAAATTTTCCCCAAAAACATAGATTATTTTATCTGTAAATAGTCAATACCATACAATGTTCAAAATACTAAAACACTCGAAACCACCGTTAGAAATATTTTCTTAATTTTTCCCTTTTGTTACTGCTGGAAAAACATCTAAGGCCATGGAAAATACCTAAGCCTCACAGAGACTTACAGTCTCCAACTAAAATAAGGATGTCACATTCAACTTCCATCCTCAGCAGATAATAACCAGGTGTCGTCTTCTTGGAACCAAGTTTTCAGGTGCCAATGCAGGGGCAAGCTGTGCCATGTGGTACATTTTATAACCAGGATGTGTGTAAGGTCTTGTGGTTGCTCTGATGTCTCCTACAATCTGTGTCAAGATAAGTGTGCATTTTACATAGCACTTAGCACTGAGTCATCAGCGTCTCCTCTGTGTTCACTAATCACTAAGGCACAACGCTTCTAACCTAAGCCACCACCAGGGTACCAGCAAAATCACTAGTACCCAGTTTCAGATGTTACTGAGAATGCAAGGGTCATAATGGGGTTGATCTTGCACATCTTCAATGGGTAGCTGCTCTCTACTTAGAAGAGCCCTTCACTGAAATTCATGTGACGTTCATTTTACGGCTGTAATGACAGGCAATGAAAACTACAAGAGACCTGGGGCTCTCCACACAGGGGAAGCGCTGGCACAGAAAAGGAAGCTGCTCTGGGAAAAACACTTGCTCAAGTTAGAGGGGAATGCATTGCATACCATGTAACATTTGGGAAAACTCAGTTACCTCTTTTTAATTATCAGTCACATAATAATGCTGGGTACAGCAGTTCAAAACAAAGGCTGATAACTGCTCTTATAGTTGAATTCAGAGAGTTTTACTTGGTAAAATGATGTAGTTGTGCTTTCTGAAACGTCGCAGAAGCTCACAGTACACCTGCCTGCAAGGTGGGCACCTGATCAGCACCCATTGAACCCAAGGCTTAACCACTGTCTGCACCTTCTGCCACAATACAGGACAATGCACAGTGTGCTCTGGGGAGTCCTGGAAAGAAGGTGCCATCTGCATGAAAGGAAATTATCAGCAAATAAAATAAACATCCTCCACGGGAAAAGAGAAACAACACAGAACTAGAGTCCTAAAAACTTAGTGGTGTCAACAGAATGGAATTTCTTTTAAAAACTGACTTGTGTCATGATAGCAGCCGAAGAGGACGTGACTGTCACACTCACATGATGGAATTCAAAATAGACCTTGCTGCTTTTTTCAACACGGGTGAGTTGCAAAACAGTACAGAGTTCACAAATACATGGGTTTTTTTCAGGCGTGGGAAGAAAATGACGAGAAACTAACCTCATTATCAGCTCAGCAATGGAAGTGAGACATAAGGACATTTCAAGGAAACAGCTCTGGTATACAAAGCACTGACTGGGTCTACCTGCTTCTTGGTAATGACAGTGGCCTACAAGACACTTACAGACAAGGATAGTTACAGCCGTGCGTGGGTACAGCTCTTTACAACCCAAGTTCTAGAAATGTCACTGTAGAGACAACATCCCCCGGGAGACAGAGCTCCTCCTCCCCCAAAAAAAGGAGAAATCCATCAGTAATAATAAAGGAGCACACCGGGCGATGTGCAGCTGTCATTCCAGCTCCCAGGGAGGCTGAAGCAGGAGGATCACTTGCTTCTCTGCAAGCTCAAGACCAACCCAGACAGAATGGCAAGAACTTGTCTCCAAAAAAATTAACTCACCGGGCGTGGTGGCTCACACCTGTAATCCCAAGCACTCAGGAGGCTGAGGCAGGAAGATCGTTGCGAGTTCGAGACCAGCCTAGGCTACAAAGTGAGCTCAAGGCTAGCCTGAGCTGCACAGTGAGACCCTGTCTCAAAGAGACAAAAAAAAAAAAAAAAAAATTAACTCATACTGAAAACAATGAAACATTTCAAATCCTAATGCCAAAATCTTTATATTTTCATCATTCCTTCAACTGAAATATTTCTGTAGGTCTTCTAACTCATCCAATAATTTTTCATTCCTAAAAATATCAGCCCTGTTTTTATGTCTAACAGAGATGATATTAACATTTAACTGGAATTAAGCTGGAATTTCCAAAAGAAAACCATCAAACAAGTACCAACAATACACAGCCAAGCTGGATCCTACTCTCAAATGGTGGGCACAGAAATAAAACAACCCATATTCTAGACGGTATTTTGTTACCCAGTGACAGTTTCAAAGTTATCAAACAAACACTGTGGGGTTAAGCTTATGTGACAGGGGAGTGGACGGTGCTAAAAGTAAAGTTTTACCAGAAAACAACAGAGCCATCTAAGCAGTGACCCAGCAGGAAAAGGACACTCCTGATTTCCTAGAATACTCTCTTACCGGTTATTATTTCTGATTACTGTGGCAGCACACAGCGTTTCTTCCTCTAACTCTTCAGAAGAATGCGTGCTTGCATCATGCTTTGCCTTATTAAATGGTCTATTTTGAAACCATTCATTTCTATTTCTCTTGCATCCATAAATGTCAAATAAGAGTGATAAGCCTACCATTTACCCTCAATTTTCTTGATAATGTAAGGTTTGGAAAGAGTGTGTTAGAACTCCAAAATAACAGACTAATATGTTTTCTCCTTTTCTCCTGCATTTCCACTGGGGGGAAATCTATTTCTGATAATATCGCCTCTGAAGTTTAGAAGCTGAAAAGGATGCTGCGTAAGTCTCCCCTCCCCCCAAAAAAGACTTCAATCATAGTTATTTTCTTTCAAAAGAAAATATCTTTCAAAGAAAAGTACTACAAAGAGTCCAAAACCTTCACTGGAATGCTTATAAGAGGTACATAAAAGTAGACATGAATGAAAAAAGAAATAATATTTTAAGAAGTACGAAACAAGAACACAAATGGTTCTATCCTAATTACCTCTTCTTTATACTTACACACCAACATATGCACACATGCACACAAGCAGTTACAAACACACACAACTATAAGTTCTAAGAGCAACCACAAAGAAGCAAAAACAAAATCGATTTTTTAACAAAGAAAAAACAAGCCAAAGGAATCTGCCTTCCCTGAATTGATAAATTTTAAAAAAGCTTTTTTAAAAAATGTGTAAATCACATTTTTTCAGAACATATTCTACTTACGCTAGTATAACAAAATTAAGATGTTATGAGATATGCCATACTCTAAAACTTTTATTGCATTAAGACATCATTAAAAAAATTACAAAGCTTCTACCATCAATTACTTAATGTGAAAAACAAAGCCCAGGTGTATTAATGAGGGAAGGGGACAGAATTGTCTGTGTGGAAATACTCCCTATAATGGCCTTTAAAAAGCTTTTGAATGAAAGTTAAAACAGATCATATTTTACATAATTTATCTTAACCATACCACAGAAGCAAATGCATCCAAAAGCATCCAGAAATCAAAATTATACATCAAAGAATGTATTCCATACACATAATTAAACCAGAGTTCATAAAGTCGTCTAAGAATTCTTAAGGAGTCACATTCTTGGTTTGTTTGTTTGTTTGTTTGTTTGTTTGTTTTTTAAGAACAATGGTTCATGTCTTCAGAGCAGGTTCATCCACATTAAAATCACTCCTGTCTGGCGTCACCAACAGCCCCCCAAACATCAAAGACAAACTCATCAGGGAAAGCGAAATCTCCGAGCTTCTCATCCAACGCGACAGCAAATTCATCTGGATTCCCTTTGTCCTTTCCGGCTTCAAACATCGTGGTAGCTGTCAATGACAAAGTTTAAAACAATAATCAGAAAGGAAGTGGCGATCGGAGGCCTGGGAGAAATGTTAGCAGGAGGCTGAACTTCCAAAATAACATGCATCCGTGTCACACATGCATTCCTGGTGTCAAAGTAAAACAGTGTGACACTCATCAAAGTAACAGTTGTGACAGTTGTTCCACAGCTCAGGTTTGCAGAGGTCCCCCTGGCCTCTCCCCAGCCAGGAAGCCATCTCTGGAATGCTCCACTGTTGGAGTGCTCCACCGCTCCTGCTCTTGCGGTGCACAGGACACAGCGGGAGAAGCCCTGCCGCAGCCTCACCATGAGACAGTCTGCTGCACCCTCAAGGTCCCACAATCACCAGCTCTCTCTGCCCCTCCACCAGGCCCCTCTGCTCCTAGCTGGGATGGGGTCCCATCGTGCCCTCCCAACCCAAAAAGAAAAAGGGTCGCAGCTTTCAGTAAGGCAGCCGAGCTCACTGGCTGGGGGAAGGCACTTGTCTGTTTACCCAGGCGTGAAGACAGCTCTTCTGAGCCCCTCTCCAGTGGGCTGGAAAGAGCAGGCGAAGCTCTGTTTCCAGGAGTTGCCAGCAACCCATGTGCTAGCCCTGGGAACCAGGGGTACCCTCTCCCCTGGGACTTGCCCCAGCAATGTCCAGGACTTGAACGAAGAACCTTAGGTAAGAGGAAAGACTAAATCCCAGGGCCCAAGCCCCAGCCTCTCCTTTCCTCCCACGTCAAGGCGGAAGGAATCAAAGCTCATGTAACTTTTCCGAAGGAGTCACAAGGTCTGGTTTCCAGGCTAAATTCTTGGGCTGTTGGGAGCAGGCCAGAACCAGTCCCCTTCCCAGGAACAGGCCTGGAAGAAAGGGAGAGACAGCCCTGGAAGGGAAGTGGGGCGTGGCAGGGAGCCCCAGGACTGGGATCAAGATTCTTGCAAGGTGAGCAGGGTATCCAGGGCCAGTGGGCAGCGGGGTGGGCATGGATGTTCATGGGCTGTGGTGGGAGAGCGGGCTTGGTGCTGACACAGCCGTGGAACCAGATGGAGGATGCCTCGGAAACACGCAGGCCGAGTCCTTTATCTGAAATCCCTGGATCCAGCGTATTTGAGGGTTTAATTTTTTTCCAGATTTTAGAATATCTGTATGTACCCAATGAGATTTGATATTGAACCCAAATCTAAACTGGGTGTGGGGGCTGGAGATTTAGCTCAGCGGCATAAGCGCCTGCCTTGTAAGCAAGCAGTCGTGAGTTCGATCCCCGGTACCGATAAAAAGGAAAAAGACAAAAAATAAAAAAATAAACTGGGTGTGGTGGCACAACCCGTAATCCTGGAGGCTGAGGCAGGCAGATGGCCACGAGTTCAAGACCAGAAAGTTAAGCTACACAATGAGTTCAAGGCCAGTCTGAACTACATAGCAACCCTGTCTCAAACCAAAAGAAAGAAAGGGAGAGAGGGAAAGAAGGAAGGAAGGAAGGAAGGAAGGAAGGAAGGAAGGAAGGAAGGAAGGAGTAGGGAAGGGGAGGGGAGAGGAAGGGAGGGTAGAAGGGAGGGGAGGAGGGAGGGAAAGAAAAAGAAAGAGGAAGGAAGGAAGAAAAAGAAAAAGAAAGAGAGGGGAAGAGAGGAGGGAAGAAAGAAAGAAGAAAGGGAATTTTTGTGCTGTATTTGTAGGTTTGCAAGTTTGAGTTCTAAAAACAAAAGCAGTGAAGAGAGAGGAGGACTTGCATGTCCTACTTCTCCTGAACCTCTCCTCTCAGCCTTGACCCACGGCTTTTCACGCTGTGAGCGCGCTCCAGCAGCCAGGCTTCTGCTCCCCACAAGTCCTGCCCCGGGCTGGCCTCATCCGAAGCCCGCGTTCATCTGTGCTCCTCATGTCCTTTAAGCACGGCCCCGGCAAGTACTCCATTATGCTGGTTCAGCTTTGGCTCTTGGAAAATAACTTGGAAACAAGCATCAAAATCCTTAAAAATGCTCACATCCTTTAGTCTACTACATTTCTCCATCTGGGAATCTGTACTTCAAAAATAAAACCTTGGAGTCAGGCATAGCAGTGCACACCCGCAATGCCAGCACTCGGGAGGCTGAGGCAGAAGGATTGCTAGTACAAGGCCAAGCTGGCCACATAAGGAGCTCCAAGCTAGCCCGAACTGCAGACCAAGACCCTGTCTCAGAGGGAAAAAAGAAACAAAAAACAGAAAATCTTGAGCTAGGGATACAGCTCAGCAGTAACAAACCTGGGTTCAACCCACAGCACAGAAAATAAAGGAAAATCTGAACAATAGAAAACACGTTAGCACACAGATAAATCTAAGTATTTTTAAAATTTAAAATCTTAATGTTATGTCCAGTATGATGAAATATATTGTGAAATATCTGAAGTATTTTCAAACAATTTAAATAATGTTTATGAGTAATTTTTATCTTACTATTTACTGAAATATTTTTACCTTACTATTTACTGAAAAAGCAATATACAAACTCTGTATTATAATCACAATTACAATATTTAAGGAAATTTACAAAAATCTCCACATAGTATCTATAGATGGAACTGTAGGTGATAAACTGATTATATTTTTATATTTTTTTCTTGTGGCGGGGGCAGAAACAGGAGCCTCAGGCATGAAAGGCAAGTGTGCCACCCCCAAGCTGCCCTGCCAGCTCCTGCAAAACATTAACAGCAGGATCTAGATGACAGGTGAAAGGCTTTCCTTAGAGTCCTTAACTGTGCTGCACGTTGAAAACCTACCACACTAAAATACTGGGGAGTACACACAGAGACCAAAGAAAACTTTAAAATGTGGTAGAAAAACTCAAATTTCAGAGAAAAGATTCCTTTTAAGTGCAGTTCTACTTGGAACTGAGTGCAGTTTGACAAGGTTAAACAGTACATGACTTACATTTACTCCAGATGCCCATGGGAACTAGCTGTACTCGGGTGGGTATTTCCTACGTCATTAAGCAATCCCTAATGTCTATGAAGAGCACTTCATCTCTCTCACCAGGCAGCTGTTAATTATAGCCCCCCAAAGAGGAAAACTGGCCCCACATTGTCAAAAAAGAGACTGCCCAGTATGGTAGTACATGCCTATAATCCCAGCACTCAAGAGGCTGAGGCAGGACGAATGTCTGTAAATTTGAGGCCAGGCTGGCATACATAGTGAGTTCAAGCTCAGTCTCAATGACACAGTTAGATCTTGAGTCAAAAAAAAAAGGAGATAGAAACAGAGACAAAGACGGAGCCAGGTGGAGTGCTCAGGAAGCTGTCTGTCTGTCAGGATCCCTCAGTATCCCCCATCATCCTGGAGGGTGCTGTGAATCCCCCACCTCCTTAGCCCCCACTGAACCATCGCCCGCTGCCCCCAGTCCTGACCCACTGCGACCACCGCTCTCCGGAGCCCCATGCGCTCACTTCCAGACAGCAGTCCCCAGTCCTTCCCTCATTTTTATGGCCATCTCAAGCAGCAGGTCCATGAAACACACCACCACCTTCCTCCTGGAGATGCCACTGCTCTACCTCCTGTCTCTGCCACTGTCATCAGCGTCACACACATTCTGTCTCTCTCTCCTGCTGCCCCCCACCTATGTGCCCAGGACGGCCTCGTCTGCCTGCACCTCTGACCTCTCTCATCTCTTCCTTTCCACTCCATGTCCACTGCCACCCCTCTGTCGCCTTGGTCTCCAAGTCTTGTTGGCAGCACTTCCCACCAGGAACATCACACTCCTCTTCCTAAGCCACAGCTCTGCTCCACCAGGTGATGGGACAGAGGGACCAGGAAGCCTCCTCACCTCTGGGGTTCTTCCTCGTTCCCACGCTCAGGAGCTCAGAGAGGCTGCTTTTCCGGCAACTCTCAAGTGATGCAGGTTCCCAGCAATGCTCTGAGTAGTAACTTTTTTTTTCTTCGGTATGGGGAAATGAAGCCAGGCTCTTTTCACTGAATTATGTATATCCCTAGTCCTTTCTTTAATTTTTACTTTGAGGCAGGGTCTCACTAAACTGCTAAATTGCTGAGGCTAGGCTTAAACTTTGGACCTTTCTGCCTCAGCTTCCCAGAGGGTTGGGATTATGGGCATGTACCACTATACCTGGCTGAATAATAAGATATCTGAATGCATATTAAATGTGGCTCTGTATTCACCTTATTTTCACATGTGTATTTTCTCTCCAACTAGAAAACTACTTTTCAATGGATCTTGGCTGGCTTAATCTTTTCCGCCCACAAGAACTAGTTCTATGTCTTGGGAATGCAAATGTTGGTGGGTAAGTAGGAAGAGAAGGGAGTCTGAATTAAATTTAACTGTGTCTTATGTTGCCACAGTCAGCTTGCATCCGGTGAAAGGGAAGCCAGAACTCTGGCCCCACAGCTAGGATCAAAGAGAAAAGCAGCCAAACTTCAGTATTAAGGATGGCTAAAGCACGCCTGACATTCAGAATTTTCCCTAATCTATACTTTAGCTATTTCTCTTACATCCTACAAAGAGCATTTGCAGAGACAATTCCAAGCCTGTACTGCCCTATGGGTGAGACACATGGAAGAGGAGTTTAGAGAAACAAGTAAGAAGTACGTAAGAAAATGTATAGAGCAGTGATGGTGAACCTTTTAGAGACGAGTGCCCAAACTGCAACACAAAGTACCAATTAAACCTGAATATCTGCAGCTCAGCAGCCGGAGTGACTCGGCTTGAGTGTTGACAGGGAAGACTCTAACGTGCCCACTGGGGCACATGTGCCATAGGTTCACCACCACTGGTATAGAGGATTCGGAGGGAGAAACCAACAGTGTACCTAATGCCCTCGTATGCTGGAAGAAACAGCATCACAAATGTAGCTGTTTACTGTTGGATTCTGAATCAACTTAAATGTCTCCCTCTCCGGCCTCCTTCCTCCCTCTTGTACACACACACATGCACAAGCACCAGTATGAGTTGTTTATGCCTCTGGGCATTCAGCAGCAGAGCCCAGCAACACCTCACTGAGACCTGGGCTGTTCTAAATTGTGGTGTCTGATCTGGGTTCCTGGTCGCACCTGAGACAAACCATGTTTAGGATGCCCATGCTACAATCTTGCATTTACACTGCACCGTATCACTCTCACGCTCATTCTGTTTCAGCAGAAAAGTGAAGACAAATTCCTATGCTCGGTGCAGACCCATAGCTGGTCAGACCCAAGTTATCCAGCCTTGCATCCCCTACCTGAACACCACCAACACTGTTACCAGAAATCTCCAGGGGAGGAGGATTGATAGGAGTGAAAAAAGGATTAAGCGCTGTCACACGTGTACAGACTCCCCCTGACAATGTAATCCTTAGGGACTGCAGACAGGGACTGGTCAAATAAAAATTTTACAGCATTGAGAAATTTTTTAAACTAGTCATAATTATTAGCAATCATTGCTAAGAATGATCATTGTGCATGATGTGAGAGGAACTTTATTCACGGTACTTATTTGGATGCTTTGGCAACCCTATGCAGTTGTTTTAATTATGTTCATTCTACAGATGTGGAAATTAAGGCTCAAAGTATAATAATCTGCCTTGAGGCTAAAGCTTCAAAGCAATTCAATTGGAACTCATGCTCCCTATGAATTTACAATTTTGACGTCTCTCAAACACTTCCCAGCATTTACTTCTGCGAAGGTGCAGTCCTGAGACCTGATACTAGAGGCTTAGTGAGCTGGGGCATCTGCCTCTGAGAACTCTTGATCTTGTAGAAGCAACAAAAAACACCAATTAGGCAACTTAAAAATTATGTTGGAAACACTACATCTAATACAGTTCTCTGTAATCTTTTAAGCCAGAAATTTTCAAAAAGAAATTAAAGATCAAACACATAAAACCATGTTAATTTTTGCTAATATACAAAGTATAAATACAATTTTTAAACATCCTTGCTGAAGAAATGAATGGGATAATGTTATCCTTTTTTTGATAAAATAAATCTCTGATTTAAGAGAAAATCCAAAGAAACTTTAGCAAAAGTATGGTTTAGAAAGTTGTATCACATTAACATAAGCTAGCTACTAACATGATTTTTATCTGTCGAATGTAATAGATCTGCAATCTACTATAATAATATTTAATCCTTAGCCAGGTGTGATGGCCCAGCACACTGGGTCACAAATTCAAGCCCAGACTGGGTAATTAGTGACTGTTACAGTTTGTGTATGGATGTCCCCCACAGCCTCATGCAGTCATGGTAGCGGGGAGGCGTTGAAGAGCCAGCTGAATCTAGAGTATGTGACTGATTCATAGTGCAATGCTGGGATTAAGGGTGAGCGGCTGCTGGGTCAGTCCATGATTGGATTCCCACCACCCGAATCCCAGCAGTCTGCACAAGACAACAGGAGCAGAAAGAGGCCTGTTTCTCCTCCTCTTGTGGCTTTTGCTGTCTTCCGCTCCCTCAGCCACCATGAACTGTTGACCTTCTACCATGAGCCACCCTGCCTTAGAGCCAGCCGATTATGGGCTGAAACTTCTACAAACTGTGAGCTAATTAAACCTTTCCCCTTTTAATTTTGAGCGTAGGATATTTTATCTCATCAATGAGAGAAAGGTAACTGAGACAATGAATTAGCAAAACCTGCCTCAAAAATAAAAGTGAAAAAGGACTAGGGATGCAGCTCAGTGAAAAGGTTCTGGGTTCAATCCCAAATACCAAGGGAAAAATAAATACTTGAATTCAATCTAACAAAAACAATTGTACCAAATTCTTATGCCACATAGAGCGGCTAAGTGCTGACCTCTAGTGGCCATTCTGAAAATGGCTTATATCATCACCACCGAACTACTTTTTCAATTATTATTAATGAAAAAATCTGTTTTGGTGACATAGACCAACAAATAATTTTCATTAAGCTTTTCAATATTTAAGCAGAAGTTTTGGAGATTAAAAAATTACTCCATGGTTTAAAATCTTGGTATCAGAGTCACAGAATTAAAACTTGTTCACTGACTAGGCAAGTTACCAAACTTCTCTGAATTCCAGTTTTCAAATCTACAAAATGGTAAACACTAGAATTTAGATGAGGACCGGTCATCACTACTGCTAACCATGCACTCTATAACACTGTCTCTTTCTATGGAAGGTCCCTGGCACTCACATTCCCTGACTTCATAAATATCAGCCCGTTGCGCACAATTCTCACATGAGTCAAGCATCAAAAATACATCAGGCAGAAAATATTTTTCAGGAAAATCTATTTTAAAACTTCACTGCTTTATCTCAAAAAGAAATTCTTTATAATGTGCACTGTTTTAGCACTCGCTGAATAAAAAAACATGACCCTTGGAAAAATGTAATTATCACTAGTAAAATGTTATCATTGTACATTTTTTTAAAAATTATATAGTTTTATAAGAAAAGCACTGAGAAGCTAATATCTAAATCTCTGTTCCACACATTTCTCAATCTCTTAATTAAATACAACTTCTAACATTCTGAAACTGCTAGTAGTGGAACTCCTAAATTGACATCATCGGGAACACTATAATTCTGGATAAAACTCACACAGGTGCATTAAGTATGCCCCCAAAAAAACTACAGATCACTTTAGCAAGCTGGACCAAGGTCTTCCAGAATTTACTTTTCCCCTTGAGGCAACTTACACTGGCACTGATTGGTTGAAAAGTCACAAAGCACAACTTTACAACCAAATGAAGCACTTGCCAACCAGATGAGCTGCTTCCTACAAAACAATTCATTTTAATTGTATGCCATTTATGAATAATAAATATTATTTAACCCATTTTGGTATAGCATTCTATTTACATAATTTCAAGTTGATGTCATTTTTAATGTTTTAATATAAATTTACATTAAAAGGCTCAGCATAATATATCAATGTAATTTGCATTAAAAAATGACTTTTCTGAAAGCCAAGAAAACTAGGCATACAGGTAAATTATTCATTTTTCTGTTAAATTAGTCTTACATTTTGAATTATATTTCTTGCTAATCATATCCAAACAGTACAAATTCCTAATTTAATAGCAGCTGATACTTTTCAACTAATCTGTTATACCCCACCTGCTAAGTCCCTAATCAGGCATGATGCTCAGGGATTGTGGAGGACTGGCTGCACTGAGCTCTGCTGGAGAGACCAAACCAAAATGGGGCCACTAGTCCTGACACTGCACCAGTTAGTTTCACCTCGCCAAGCCAAGGTGGAGCTGTTACCCGACCTTCCAAGGAACCCAGCCAGAGAACAGCCAAACCCCAAGTCCCCCCAGGTGAGGCTGGCATGACAGTAAATGGCCCCTGGCTTCACCTTTACAAGGTAAGGAACCTGACAATGACCAGTGTTTTGCTTTCCTTCGCTGACAAAGGGTCCAGTGCCTTTGTGCAGCTGCTCAGGGCACCATTCTACTTTATAAAATGTCGCGTTACCCAGTTCCAGAGCTGCGAGTGCAGGCCACCCATGAACTTTAAGTTAATTTGTTTTAATGTTCTTTTTGACAATTCTGCAGGGAAAATGAGAGATGAGTGGAAATATAGAAGGGAAGAAGGAGCTTTTCAGTACTTAGGTGTCTACAGATGTAGCTCAGTAGTAAGGCACTTGCTTCCCTAAAACATAAGCACACACACACACACACACACACACACACACACACATCATCCGTGCAGTCCAAACCCCGGCCAGCATCCACCTGCCCTCCCTCAGGAGCAGCGCTGAGCTGTGCATCTCTGATCACTCTCAGCCGCAGAGGTAGAGCACGGGGCCCAATCCTGCCACTGTCCTGCCCCCTGTCCTCAGGAGTGGCCGTCAGGGACAGTCCTGGGCACTGTGTCTAAAAGACTTGGTGCTTTCCACTCTGCCTGCTGCCAGGCGGGTAGCAGGACGGCACCGTGGCGGTCACCTCGGCTCCTGAGGGGAGGCTGCACTGCCAGGGATGTCACAGGGGCCACAGCCCAGAGAAAGCCCCTTCTGGACCGGCCCTAGCTCTCCGAGTGAGCCATTCATTCTTCAGGACGAGATCGAGCTCTACACTTCTCAGCTCTAAGAACTAAAATGTCTCCCTTTTTTCCTTAAACTAGATGGAGTTAGGTTTTCTGGTTTGGTTTTGCTTTTAGTCATTTGCAACCGGCAGAGCTAGTGGATAAATCAAAACCTTTGACAGCCTACTGATAACCTACGAAGTGCCCAGAAACCCAGCTGCTCAGTGTCCTCATCACTGATGTGTCCAGTGTGTTCTTTCTCTCCACATTCCTGACTCACTGTTCAGAGGGCTTCCCTCAACCCAGCAAACGGTGCCCAACTTTCATATCATAAAAGTGCATAATGTAATCTATGCAAATGCAGTGTATCAGGTAATGAAACCGTTCCTGTGCACCATTCATGAAATTATTTTCAGGTATTTTTAAGCCTCCAAAACAAAATGGAAGGAAACATTATTGCACACAGTGTGTAGACTAGGAATTAAGATTTTTAAAAGCGGACGTGGCATTCACACGTCACAGCTGATCAATGGAACAAACCTGGTCTTCGTTACTCTCCAGTATCTTTACGTTTGCTCTTCTTTTCAGCACTCCATTGATGGTTCCTGTTGAAAAGTTTATTGGTTCTAACTGCAAATAAGCATTAGTTCCATCGAATTAAGAGTTTTGAGACTTTTTAAAATAGTAAACCTTTGCAAAAGGGAAAAGGACCAAGAGATGGAGGAGGAGGAAAGGAGAGGAACATGTCATTGTGTCCACAATAAATGTAAATAGACTCATAAAATATTTTGAAATAAATATGCATTTTTAAAAAATGAAACAGTATGGTCTTACCTAACTCAATATCTCGAATTCCCATGTACAATTCAAGGAGACTGTCAATCTTTTCAATCGCCTTTGCTTTGGCTTCAGAAGGCTTTAGCAAAGAAAAGAAAAATAAGATGTTAACGTTTTTACACTGCAATCTCTTGGGCATCGGGGCACACTGAAAGGGAAATGAGATACAGAGCCAGTCCACAGTGATGGACTTCAGCTCACTGTCAGGTAAATATATGTAGAATGCGCTTTCTACCTAAATATAAGTCAATACAGTAAATCTTACTTTAGCATCAGCATTAAGTATTATGGATTTTTTTAAAAAGCCAGAAACTCGGTTCCCAAGGAGTGAAGTACCTAGATGGGGAGACAGATGTAAAAATAAATGACTGTGTTACAATTTAAAGGATAGGGGCTGGGGATTTAGCTCAGGGGCACAAGCACCTGCCTTGCAAGTGCAGTCATGAGTTTGATCCCCAGTACCAAAAAAAAGCCAGGGATTTAGCTCAGTGGCAAAAGTGCCTGCCTGGTAAGCACAAGATTATGAGTTCAAACCCCAGTACCACCAAAAAAAAAAAAGGTATCATGCCAATGAAATCTTTATAAAAGGGACTGGGGATTTAGCTCAGTAGCATGAGTGCCTGCCTGGCAAGCACTAGGTCATGAATTCGATTCCCAGTACCAAGAAAAAAAAATTTTTTTTAAAGGACATAAAAGGTACAAAACCACAGGGGCAGAGGTGAATTTGTATCTTTAAGAATTGGGGAAGAGGGGCTGGGGATTTAGCTCAGTGGCATAAGCACCTGCCTTGCAAGCAGGCAGTCATGAGTTCGATCCCCGGTACCAATAAAAAGAAAACAAAAAAAAGAATTGGGGAAGAAAGAGCAACAGGCCCATGGGGACGAGTCTACACAAGGTGCCAGGGGACAAGAAGACCGTGTGACTAAGAACACGATGCCAAGCATGACAAGGCTGAAGGCAGCCTGCATGCCACCAGAAGGATTTTAGTCTTCACAGCACAGGCCACAGTCTCTAAGCTCTTAATGGCTGGTCCCAGTACCCTCCTTTATTATTTATTTTTTATTTAACTTCATTGTATATTTTTTATAAATTATGTGTATTACCAAATTAATATATCAAGTTTATTATGGAAACACCCACAAAAAAAGGAATTTTATAAAGAAGAAATTAATGATGAAATTTTTAAATAGTTTGTTTCATATAGCAATGATACTAAAACAGCCCATTCTTCCTAAAACTGTTAACAAATTTCAGTTTTAAAAAATATGATTATGTTTTGATATTCTTTTAAAATCTTGGTTTTAGCCTGCCTGGTGGTACCCCTATAATCCCAGCACTCAAGAGGTTGAGGTGAGAGGATTGCTGTGAGTTCAAGGCCAGCCTGTTTACAAAGTGAGACCCTGTCTCAAAAATAATCTTAGTTTTGGCTGAGGGTTTAGCTCAGCGGCACAAGCGCATGCCTGTCAAGTACAAGACTGTGAGTTCAATCCCTGGTACCAAAAAAAAAAAAAAATATTCTGAGTTTTGTATTTGGTGAAGTCCAGTTCTATGTTCATATTATTTTATTTCTTGGTTTTAAATGACTTCACAACAAACATTGAATTGCTCAAAGATGTTTAATACTTATCTACAGGTCCAAATACAGAAGTAAGCAATTAAGTTATAAGAAATCCACACAACTTTTAATATTGTCATACTTATGTGTTGCCTTGTATTCTCAAAACTTATTAAAATTATCTATTTTAATCATATATTTTATAACAAAATTTTTTATCCTTGAGACTATCAATATGATCTTCTCACTTTTATCTTTTGTGTGTTTTATTAATTATGGAATTCAAGCCATGCACATGATAAGCAAGCACCACCACTAAGCTTCGTTCAGCCCTTTCACACTTTTCTGTGCAAGAACCAAGCAATAATGATAACAGACACACCTACTGTTCTTGACTTCATTACCGTGCACACAGCTTGAATTACCCATGAACAGCAGCAGGCTGTCCAGAGTCCCTTAGGGGTGAGCTCAGCCATTTGTAAGTGGTGGTACCATGCATCAGCACTTCTCCTACACAAACAGCTACCTGCCTTTATCTGTCCACCTCCTGCCAGCTCAGGACTATCTATCACCTCTTCTTCCACATCCACTTGCCTGTTTACTCCTCGTTTTTATGGGCAGAGGTCCCTCCTACCCCCTTCTCAAACTCCTCCTCCTGCCAAGCAGCCCATCCCTTGGACCAAAACACAAAACTGATGGTGTGCTCCCCCTACAGTTCCTACAAGGCCTTCCACACCCTGACCACCCTATTCCTCCAGCCTCATCACCTCCTAGCCCACCCAGTCCTCTGTCACATACCCTCCGGTCCCCAAACCCAGGATGGCTTTGTGTCTAGGACACCTCTCTCCCTACTGCAGCCAGCCTGTTATGGTTTGAGAACTGATGGTCAACTTAACTCCAGCTGGATTACATCAGCATGCATTGAGAAAAGATGCTCCACCTGAGGAGGGTTGCCAGGATAAATAGGTGGAGAAGAAGAGAAGTGGAAGGAGGGATTGAGGTGTGAAGGAGGCATCGTGGGTTCTCTTACGAGTTGCTGTCTGAGCTGTTGGTTCTCCTGAAGAAGCTTTGGTCTTCACATTGAGCCTTGCTTCCTGGCTCCAGAGAGGAAGACATGTGCTGCCTGGTCTCCAGGATGAACTCGTCACGCTGCTTCCCGGCAAGTACCCGACTGTGCTTGTCGGAGGAGGAGCTTGGGGCCTCCATGTCGCTGAGGATGGCTGTGGTACCTTTCAGGATAGCCCTGGTCTTTGTTGTGAGTGTGACTTCTCGGCTCCAGCATAGAACCCTCATCCCACTAGCACAGCTCCTTCATCCTGCTGGCATAGACTTTCTGGCTTCTACCGCTGATCCTTGGGTCTTCCCGGCACGGATCCGTAAAAGAGACTGGTGTGAGTCCTTCTTGTGGGCTCTGGACCTCCAGTTGGATCGTTGTCCTGATCACTGGGTTTTTATCTGGACTCATGTAGGACACTGCCGTGGGGTTTAGACTCGACTATATAATCTATGTCGTTGGTGTTGCAGATAGATTTCCTGCATTCTCCTGTGTTAACTTCCGGTGACCATTATAAAAATATTATAAACTCCATGTCCTGATCTGAATTGTTCTCTGTGTACAACCCCTGACTACAACACAGCCCAATTGTTTCTTCCGGAGGGAACCTCTCAGGACCTGCTCTCTCCCCCCAGTTCATCGACTCCTGCTCCGTGACTCTGCATACCCAGAAACCTGTCTCTATTAAGCTTGTCTTCCTGCCTCTCTCCCTTTAGAGGAGGAACAAGGTCTTTACTCATTTCTTTGTCACCAGCACCTGGACTGCACTGGACAGTTCAGCAATACAATGAACCAGTTCAGGGTATGCAAGTGGAGTAGCGCTCGGCTTTCAGAATTTGTGCTAAGTTATAAGAAGATGATTTGTTTCAATCATTCGTTAAGTCCTCCAAATCCTTCAGTGTTTGAAACGAGACTGCAAATTACTGGTATCATATTTAGTAGTACACCAAACCAGATTTTTCCTTTCATGATGAGCTATTTTTAATTGACCTGATGAGCTATTTTTAATTAAACAGGCTATGCAAATAAGGGTGGATTTGGGGATGTTTATTTTTGAGTCTTTCCTGCCTCCCCAGAGAGAGCTGAAGCAGCTTTTTTCCACCGCAGGACCTTACAGACTGCAGGAGCTATCCGGCCCTCTACAAACTGTCTTAAGTCTGCTCCCCTTTCCTGAGTCTCCAGCAGAGAGCAGGGCTCACAAAGCTCCCCACAACCAGCTCCTCCCCATTCCACTCCCATTCTCTTATATATTCCTCCCTTCTACTCCAGCCTGATCATTCCCTCAAGAAGCACCACGGCTGATGCACTGTGTGTGACCCCAGGACCAGCATCAGGAGGCTGTGGGACCTCTTCATCACCACTGTCTTCACACAGTGAAGGGATCTGCAGCCACCACTTAACCCCTGCCATGCTCTTCTACCCTCTTCTGCCCCCATTTGGCTCCTCCTAGTATTTTGCATTCAAGTGCTGACCTTTCCATAGATGCACATTAGAAACCCTTGTTTTTCTCAGGTTAAATCAAATCATTCATTAAGCAGAGATTGGAGCTCGTGTGACTCATCGTGTGGTATCCAGGAGCAGTGAGTGAGACACAGAGCAAAGGAGAAACACGACAGGTGACATTAAGCAAAGATATGAGTCCTACTGTGTTCACTGCTTTCAAGCTTTAAGACTGGGTGGCAAGAGGGGTAAAGAGAACCACAATGCATGCAGGACACCCAGAAAAGGTCTCGTAGAGAAGCTTGTGTGTGGGCAGGAAGCCAAAGGCAGGGAGCGAGCCTTGGCTATGTGGATCGAGCATCCAGGTGGTGAGGACGGTAGAACCAAGACCCTGAGGTAGGGAAACTTCCCGAGTGGTTGGGGACAGGGAAGAGGCCCATGAGACTGAAGCACAGACTGGGGAGACATGATTGGGAGGAAATGTGCTGGCAGCTCGTGCTGATGACTGTAAAGAGCAGGCTTTATTCTGAGTGACACAGGCTGGGGTGAGGGACGCCTGGGCACAGGAAAGTGACATCACCTCATTTGTGTTTCTAGAGGATGATTCTGGCTGCAGGGCTGAGCACAGATGAAAATGGAGAAGGCTGAGCAGGACCACAGTCCTGGGGCCGAGCAGGGGCAAGGAGGCCAGAGCCGTTGGACCCTGGACACTACAGATGCCAACCCTGCAGGATTGGTGATGGGAGAGGTGAGGGGTGCAAAGACTACAGGAGACGTCACCCGAGGCGCTGGACGGCGTGAACACAGGCTTTCACTTCAAAAGCTCCCTAAGTATCTCTACTTCAAAATTTTCTTGACGCTCAACTTTGGACGCTTCATTTAATTTTTTTTACATAGTCCATGCTTTGATCAGAGCAAATGGCATTTTATTTAACTTTATGAGTTTACATTTCCAGCTTTAATACACATGAGTGACTACAGGTTTCCAAGCAGGATGAGAACCAAATGAACATAACGTACCAATTCTTCCACAGTGGCTGGACCTTTGTATCTCAGACGCAGGGTCCCACTGGCATTACCAATATTTTCTGCTGATGTCTTTCCAGCTTTTGACCTCGGTCCTACTTCTGCAAACATGGAATGAAAGGGAAAAGGTGGGTATACATTCTGGAGGAATTCCAAAAGATTAATGCGAAAGCTAATGTGATTTCTTTCACAAAACTACACGGAAGTATTGCATAGACAAATCTTCTTAACAAATTACCTAAAGCACAACAAATTCACCTGACAGCCCTTGTCCTCATATGGGAATCTCTATGATAAGAGATATGTCCACAAAAAGAAGAGGAAAATGTATTATAACAAAGGCTGGATGTTACAAAGGGGCAAAAATATAAAAAAAAGTGGACACTTGAGTGGGATGTCAGCCAGCTCATGGAGGAGGCAGACAATTGTGTCTTGGTAAGGGAGAGAACCAAGGCCCCACTTGAGATAATATTTGAGTTTCAACTTGACGCTTTGTGTACAGAATCCTACTTAATACACATACCAAACTATGCAGCCAGCTATGATAGGCTGATAAGAGAACTTTGTGATCCCAAAGTCTGCACGATCAGCCACCCTCTGTCATGCCCATACCTCTTGGAAGTACAAGGGATAAATTCAAAGGTGACATCCTGGGAGAGGCAGAGCCCTCAAGAAACATAGGTAGGAGTAGCTCTGAAAAAGGAATTTCCCCCAGAAACAGCAGGGACAGGAACCAGGAGCAGTGGCCCCAACCCACTGCTCCTTCCCAGATGGTGATTTTGTGTGTCTGTTTTTCACAGTGTACCAAAAGTCACCCACCGAACTCCCCATCCCAAACTTTAACATAAATGAGTGAAAGGGAAGGTGAGACTGGGCGGGGTGTCCTCATGAGACCACACCGTAACTGAGCACCTCATGGGGATGCAGCCCTGCTAAGCCAGCTCTACTGTTCTGTAGAGAAATTAGATTCTCAGAGTTTGTATGAATTTCCTGAGCTTTCAGTCCAGGCAATTAAGCCACACAAACATACTGGTGAAAAGAAAACAGGTTTGATTCTAAACACAAGTTACCAGTTTACAGCCTCTGTAAATATCCCCCGTCCACACCCCCTTGGCAGAGGGCAGTTTAGTGGCAGGAAGCATGGCCAAGTCCGGAGGAAGCCGCAGCAGGGAACTGGAGATGACAGAGCTCCTGAGAAGACTCAGGACGGCAAAGCAAGCACACAGCGAGGTCTGTGCAGAGCTCTCCAGACACGGCTGCACACACAGATTCTTGCCCATTTACAATAATCCCCATCGTTGGCCACGTACTGTTTTCTATTATGCCGAATCCATTAAGGATTTGCATATTCAATTTTAACCTTCAATTAGGGAAAGACCAAAACATGAAACATATTTCCCCCTAAAAGTGAAATTCTAAGCAATTATTATGCAATATGCACACCAGCTTCCCCTGAGCAAAAACCTATAAATGGTGGCTGGGAAATCTGGGGAGCACCCAAGTGCTAGTCATCATGACCCAACAGGTTCCCAGAAAATTAAAGCCAAATCAATGAGACTACAGTCTTGCCAGTCACACTGCGCCCTGAGGGAAGGAGGGGTTCTCAGCCGCTGAGCACAGTTTCAAAACCACGCTCCAAGACAAAGATTGAGTTATTCTGTCATCAGCGTGGTCCATCAGGATTACGCTCTCCTCACCGCTGTGAATGCCCCCAGCCTGCATCGTTAACTCCCCAAGGTGCTGAAGGCAGCTCAGTCACTGGTACGGACCATCAAACAGCGCACATGCACGAGCACGCACACTACGATTCCACCAAAGAAACCCCTGAGTGTAACTCACTTTCCCAAAACATTTCCTACAGGGTAAAAAGGAACTGCTCCCCTAACAAAGACACACAGGTTTCTAATTGGAAAACAACACATTGGCATTTTGACTTATCAAATGTCCCTTGCAAGCTGTGTGAGTATGAACTTCCCCTGGATAACTGAACCACCCCAGATTCACTAGAAAACTAGGTTTCTGGTATTTACCAAACTAAGGACCCAGCTGCTGGACAATGGGCTTCATAAAGTTACGGTCACCCCTGCTTGAGAAGTGAGCTGGCCTCCCTAGATGATGCCTCTGTCTTATCCTGCTTTTTCCTGCAACACCAGCAGCTAGACAGGCAATTGCATGTAAGATATAAGATTGATTATCAGCAAACTATCTTTAGAGCAGTTTTAAGCTCACAGCAAAATTGAGCAGAATGTACACAACTTTCCCATGTACCCTCTTCTCCCACTCATGTGCAGCCCTCCCCCATTATCAGCACCCCCACCTTACGGGACATCTGTCACAACTGATGACCTACACTGGCGGGTCACCACCCAAAGTCCATGGCTGACACTGGGGTTCACCCTTGGAAAGGAACTCCTCATCCAATGGGATTGGATAAATGTATAATAACATGAATCTACCATAATCAGATCCTGAATAGGATGGCAACCCTAAAATCCTCTTACCTACCTATTCATCCACCCCAGGCTTTCTTTTCTTTGACCTGGAATTGAGTTGAACCCAGGGCCTCTGAGCAAACCAGGCAAGTGCTCACCACTGAGCTAAGTGTTCCACTCTCTTCCCAGATTTTGTAATCTCCATGTAGGACTGGGCAAGCGGTCTTCTTGAAAGTGGCATTTCCAAACTAACCACTTGGTGGCACCAAAGCAGAAGTTAAATTTTAAATCCTGGCTTGATCTGACTTCCAGAAAAGCAGTTTTCACCTCTAAGAAAACAGGACCCAGGTTGCTCCTCTGTTCAGGTATAGAAGCAGACCTGTTTATACATAAAAGCAAGCAAGACAGTGCTACTACCTGCAGTGGGGAAACAGGTTTTGTGTTTGGGGAAATGTTTTGAAGATTTTGAAGTTAACAGTCTGGCCTACTTTCGGCGCTGGCCTGCCTAAACAGGACTGACCTGCTGAGCCACGCCCTAAGTGATGGATTCACAGGAGGCCTCAGGGCTGAGTCAGGAGAAGGTTTGGGTTCACTCCAGTCCCTGGCACCCAGCTCACAGCTGGCTGAGTCACTGGCTTTCTCACCTGCGAAGTGCATGACCATCTGCCCTACTTAGGTCACCCAGGGCTGGAACGTCCCACCCAGGGGCGCCTGGCTGCAGCTGAGTCTCCAAGAAGTCACGTTTGTCCCCAGACCTTGTCGTGGCCCTCATATCTTTTACTCTAACTGTGACTGAATTCGAAAGTACACGAGCTGATGAAATGAATGTGAAATGAGCAGTGCTTGCTAGACTGGGTCGTCTGCGTTGGGATGCCTCCATAAAAGTGAATTTCATATAATAATAATAATAATAGGTGTGGCCAAGATGACTCTAGGAGAGGAGAAAAAATATTTCTAAACATCTATCACTGCATATAGTGTATATTTTTTTAAAAAAGGATAGAGCTCACAGACATGCATTAATGTGATTATTTAAGAAAAACTCCATTGAACACCAATTTGTGATTCTATTTAAAGAAAAAGCCTTTCTATCAAGAGTATAAAAGACCACATTTTTACATTGTAAATTATAATAAAACACTTTTATAGGTGCACATGCAGTATGGTCAAAAGCTGGGTTAATGTTTAATCTTCTAAATTCGTTACAGGAAAAGACATATTGCCGTTAATCCCCTCAAAGTGCTCCCTGCCCTCTGCACACACTAGCCCACCCTCATCAGCCCTTTCCAAAGCAGTTCTGAAGTCCTCTTTTGTAAGAGTCTTTAATAGCACTACCTTGGCTGCCCTGAGGTCCTCAAGGGCTTCAAAACATTTGCTTTCATGGTCATTTTGACTATGAGGGAAAAGTCAGAAGTCACAGAATACCACAGGTGCAGTGCGTAAGGTGGATGAGGACACAGGGGGATGTTTATATTGGAAGAAACTGCCATAAACGGTTGATCATAAAGCATGAAGATTCCATTTAGTAATATACTACAGTGAAAGACTCACCGCCAGAATCCCCCGCAAAATACCCCAGCTCACTTGGAACACACTTATCCCATCGTTCTTGGCATTGCGTTTTTACTGTAATTCCTTTACGTTAAACATTCGCCATCTCTTTGGATTACCCTGGCACATGTGCCATTCTTTAGGAGAGCCTGTTTTAGCTGATATTCCAGTAAACAGACCAACCCTCCGGCTACTATATGATGACACTCAGGCTGGAAACGGAGAAGGAAGAAGGACGCCTATCTCTGCCCAACCCCGAAACCGCAGGCCAAACCCTTAGGAAACAAACGTGGATGGGCATGCAAAAGTGGCTTCCAAGAGGAGTGCACACACAGCAGCTAAGATCCTCAGTGACATATGGCGCCAGGCGGGAGGCTGTGCACCCTCCCACTTCCACACTGCCTGGGGACCCTTGCTGGCTGGACATAACTGTCAACAGAGCCGGAGAGCATGACTGCAACAGGAGGTGGGCACCAAGGAGCACCAGATAGCAACAGCTGCTCAGTGCATAGGGACTGCTCAGGGGGCACTGCTCAGGCATAGAGCACTTGCCTGGCATGTGGGAGGCGCTGGTTTGGATCCCCAGTCCTGCAGGGGGAAATTAAAAAATACAAATGGCCCAGAGATACCCAGGGAAGAATGAGATGCTTAAGATATAGCAAAGATCAAGAGGGAAGCCTAACAGGACTCCTGGTACCAGGAATTGAACCCACAGCCTTGTGCTTGCCAGGCAGGCACTGAGCCACTGATCTCCAGGATGGGACTTCTAAGCACATGTGAAACCCTGACAACAGCGAGTGACAGTGAGAAAAAGGGGTACACTGCTGGGGCTGGAGGCTGTGTACAAAAAGGTGGGAGAGGAAAAAAAACCCAGGGCCATTGTGGTAACAGAAAGGAAATAACTGGTGAGGCAAAAGTTGTTTTAACATTTCTCGTTAAGACTCCAGACAAAAGTTTGCAAATGTGGAATCACGATGCCCAAGAGGGGAGTTCTCCAGGGCATTCTGATAGCTGATAGCTACTGGTTCATCCCTCGAGGAGAAAACAGTCGTACCAGGTACTCAACGGCTCTGAAACATCAGACTGGGCACCTGACACATTTTGACACTAAAGGTTTG